TGAAACGTCGCTAGAATAATTTCCACAGAAGCAAAACATTTGCTATGTATTGGCAATAGCATCAAGATAGGCCAGATTCTGCGCATACAGCCACTTGGTGGATTAAAAAACATTCACGGAGCCCAGATTATACCCAAATTATGTTTATCGGGAGTCGGGTTGTCAGGTTCGGCAAGTAAAAAGACAGGATGCCCAGCTAAATTAGAATTGCAGGTCAACAACAAAAACTTTTTAATATAAGTATGTCCCATATAATAAATATTACTAATACAAATATTAAAAATATTTCATTTTAATTAAATATTAAACTTAATTAAAATTAAATAATTGAAATATTAATTTTAATATTAACAAATTATTTGTTGTTGATCTGAAATTCATGCTTCACTGTGTGCCACACAGCTTAGGCAACTCTGGTTAGGAGGAACAAGAAGAGTTTCAAGGAGTGGGTGGGATCGGAAAATTGGGGAAGGCGCTGAGGCAGGAGAGCCGCATGGCCCAAGGCAGGCAGAAGCTGCGTTTCTTAGAGGCAATGAACGGAGGAGTTTATGGAAGCAAAGATTTTACGTGGGAGAATGAAATTCCACAGAGCCGTTAGGGACCTGCTGTGGAGTGTCCTCAACACCCTTATGGAACAACATTGGGGTGGGATGTAATTCAAGGGCCAACTGTTTAACCTCTTTTAGGGGAATTATCTTGTTTAGCAAAATGCCTGGAAGGGACATTTTGATTATGGAGAGAAAGGCAGTCCTCAGAGTTTGGCCAAGATGAGCAGACACAGTGAGAAAGCTGCGTTGCTTGGCACGAAAGGGGAAGAAACTGATACTCCAGGGCAGCCTGCAGAGGAGGCACAAGAGGAATTCTGCGGGCGGCACCGTGGCAGAGGGCCAAAAGACGCAAGGAGGGAATCTTGGCCAGGGAGAAATTCCCTTTATCAGCCAAAGGATTTGGAAGAACCCGAGTGGTCAGATCCTCCATCTTTGCGTAACCACCTGTGCCGTTTTGTCATCTAAGTCTTTGCCACTGCCCGAAAACACTCGGTGAAAGTCTGCGCCCAGCTGAGCTACCCGAAGTGTTTGAGAGACGAGGAAAAGTACCCAGGCACCCGCACCAGTCTCCGCAGCACGGAGGGCAGAGAGCGAGCCCAGGGCACCAGGAGAGAAAGGTCCCCGACAGGAGTCGAAAGGGAGGCTGAATGTGTGAGCGCACCCTGGGAACCCACAGGACTCATGAGGAGGACGCGGACATGCGAGCTGAGGTTAAAGCACTTTCATTTAGATCTCAAAAAACAGGAATCCCAGCTAACATCTGCCTCTGTATATACAAGACAGTCTCTAGAGATGTCTCTTCTGATTGTTGGGGAGGAAATGATTACGTGTGTAGATCTCCCGGTGTTCATGCTTGACTCTTCCTTTCTTCTTGATAACTATTTTTTTTGGATGTTATGGCACCCACACCAACGTTCATTCAATCTCAGAGAGAGATGAGACAACTCGGACCAATTATTTTTCTTTTACCCTCTCTGGAAGAGATGTTATTGGGATGCTTCTCTTTCATGATTCTGCACATGTTTATGCAGCTGTGAATGCTTAAGTGAGAAATGTCACTGTGCTCTACCCCATTACCTCCAGGTTCTTGAGTGTGCGTATATGTGTTCCTACATAAATACCGCCAATGAACTCAAATGAGGATATGATTACACTATTTCCTGGAGTGCATCAATTTATTCCACAATCTATAAAAGACAACCAAACTCTTCTTGTAACCGCTTGCAATATTTCTCAGCTGTGGGTCCATTGTTTTCCCAAAAACTACATACTGATTCAGAATGCCAGTGACAAATTAGCACAGTGTTTGTTATTTCCAGAATAATGACCTCAGAATGATTTTATTTGGCCAGCCATGCAGATGGTTTAGGAGTGAGGGCTATTTCTTGACTATAATAATTTGTACTTTAGAAAGTTTCCTCCTGATAGGAAATTCCATTCACAGAACAGAGCATCTATAATCGAAGATGTCTAATGAGTCATCGGGGACATTAGAGAATGGTCAGGATGTTTTATTTATATTTAAATGTTTATGGAACACTCATAGCTAGAGGGAAACTGGCTATTGCAGTCTTTGCAATTATTAGGCTGTTTCTCTTTTACTGTCTCCTGGGAAACTACAAAAAACGAATCGATGATTTGACATTATCCCTGGAATATGTCCATGATCCTGCTGCTTCCTTTGGAGCGCTTGAGAATTCAGCCCACCTAACCTGCAAATTGGTGTCTTTCAACTCGAAAGGAACATGATAATGCAGAGATAACTGCCAGTCCCCTGGTTAACTATACTAGAGCTGCCCTAAGGTTGGTGACAATTTACCAACGTGCTGACTCCTGCCCTTTTACTTATTGATGTTGCTTATTCTGGTTAACGTTAATCACGACCCTTTGAGCCATTTCCAGTTGAATGCACCTGAATTAGTCAGTTCTCTTTGAGTTTGTAGTAATTCCCTTTGCTGTTTCAAAAATCCAAAGCAACAAAAATCTACCCCTTAACAACAGCACTTTTTTAAACAGTTCCTATTTCAGTGCCTTTATCAACAGGTGCAAACGCACACTATGAATTTGTTCACATTCATTTCATAATATGGTCTTTTATTATTTCAATAATTAGCATGCCCAGATGAGCACATACACGTTTTGGGAACCACAGAAGACACTGGACCTTTTAAGGAAAAAAATGGATCTATCCCTAATTTCATGACACTTGCAGTCTAAAAGTGCTTATTTATCCAAGTCAAAATAGAGTCCTTAGTGAAAAATCTTTCTGGCAAGCACCCAGAATTTTTAAGACACATTTCCTCTTAAGAAAGTCACTTTCTCATTATCCCTGGGTAATTTGCCTCTTGGCTTCTACTTTTTGCTATTCCCCTGACTTTATTCATTTTCACTTATCAGAGAGACATAAATTGGTGACAATTAAATATTTCCACTTTATTTAATAATTGCAGTTTAGAAAAAAAAGGTTGGAATGACAGCCTAAAAGCAAATTTGAATATAAATAACATTTTAATATTGTCCACTAATTTTTTCTATTCTATCTTTGAATCTTTTTGCCAATCCTTATAAAAAGAGTTCTGAGGACAAATGAAAATAAAATGCATTTCATATAGAACGTTTGTCAAAATGCAATGTAATATAGAACGTTTGTCAAAATGCAATGTAAATGGCAAGATGATATTGCAGACCCACACTGAGATTTTGTGTGTGTACGTAGAATACAGTACCAGCCAGAGCAGGAGCCGCAAGACATCATCTGTTTCCCTTCCTGTCCCCAAATGAACCAGGCCATTCGGAATCTGTGGCAAGGGCTAGAATATCACAAAACAATGTTGACTCTGCCCATCTGTCAAGGGAAACTAGAGTCTGAGGAGTGGAGGAGGGGAGGAGCGCTGATGGGGTGGTGGGCAGCATGAGAGTGGCAAATAATAATCCCTCAGGGAACAATTCTCACACTCTCAGTGTCATCCCCCTGCCCTCCTATCTGTGCGCCAGGCACCTTAGAAAGGAAGGAACACAGGTAATCAGAGCAGTTCCTGTGGCTCCGTCTCTTTCCTGCATCTTTCTCTCCTAACTGAGCCCTTCTCTGTGCCCACCATCGACCGGAAGTAACCAAGGTGTCCATGGAGGGTGAGGGGCAGAGACAGGAGACACTGGAGGTGGGGGTGGGGGGACAGAACAAGAAAAATGTACAGTTCCGTTAGGAATAAGATATCAATGACTGAGAGTCCAAATCCACTAGTCTCTTATGTCTGGCCGTTGTGCTCATTTTATCTGCAAATAAGAAACCAGAGTAGGTCAATGTTCATGCCAATCAAGCATTTAAAATAAAAAACTTAAACAGAAAACAAGAACCAGAGCCTGTGGGACACCAGCCTATGAAAACATGCTACAAGCTGGAGGCATCAAAACTGATACCTTCTAGACAAATGCAGTTGTTCTCTCTACCACTTAGCACCACAGAGCTTGAAGGCACGTCCGAAAGCACCTCATCTCAGCTGACACCTTTCCTAAGGGCCGCAGAAAAGTCCTGCTAATGTGTGGCCGAGCCCAACGCCCAGCCTCTCCAATTTCTAATCCTGCACTTGCTCTGCTGCTAATAACAGCTCTACTGTTCATAGGACCCTACTGAGTGCCAGGTAGTATTCTAAGCACTTTGCAGGTGTTGCCTTACTTAATCCTACAGCCAGCCCCGAGATGCAGGTATTTATTACTGTTGCCATTTCAGGTGAGGAATCTGAGACCAGTGTGGATAAGTAACTTGCTCAATCCCAAAACTGACAGAAGCTCTGAGCTTCTCCCCTGAATCCACACACTCTCCTACCCCTAAGGGGCCTGCTTATCCCCTGCGTTCAACCTTCCGCTCCCTTCACCTCAGGGAAACATCTCCGTGCGTCCCTTAGCCCAACTTCAGCGCGCGGTAAACTACTGAATTCTCACTGGTGCCCGGGTTGCACATGTAAAGTACCAGAACACAAGGTTTCGACTTTCATAATGCCGGGTTCTCTCTATATATAGCTGGGAGAAAAGAATAGCAGCTTGTTTGTCCTCATTCTTTCCAAGACCCCTGTTCCTGGAAATGCTTCGAGCAATTTGATGCATCTGGGGAACTTCATTCCCTCCGGTTTCAACACCTTTAGCTCCATGTGAAAAATAAAAAATGTATGATCATGGAACAACAGGAGTGATGAGAAAGTTGAGATAATCGTGAGCTGAGTCTTCACTGGCTCTGATAAATTAATCACCAAATTGGCAATTGAACTTGCCAGAAGCAGACCCGTGTGCCAGGCGGCAGGCTGGTCATCCCGCACCCCTGGCATTAGGAAAGCTCTCGTGGTGAATAAGCCGCCAACCAGAGCGGCCTGAGGTTTCCCTTTTTCAATTTCTGGTGCAAAGAAAACCAGCTTTTGAGCGCATAAGCCAATACGTGACATTTTTTTTTCTGCCGCACAGAACCTGAAGCGGGTGGCGGAGACCTGGATGGACGAATTCGCCGAGTACATCTACCAGCGCCGGCCCGAGTACAGGCACCTCTCCACCGGGGACATCTCCGCGCAGAAGGAGCTGCGCAGACAGCTCAAGTGCAAGGACTTCAAGTGGTTCATGGCTGCGGTGGCCTGGGACGTGCCCAAGTACTACCCGCCCGTGGAGCCCCCGCCTGCGGCCTGGGGCGAGGTGAGCAAAGGCCGCGCCAGGAGCCCTGCCCGGGAGCGCGCGCCTCCCTGCAGCCCAGGGGCGGGAGGGCCTGCGAGCACCCTCGCTCTTGCCCCTGCAGCCGGGCGAGGTGAATTCAAGTCGCCTCCGATGAATGAATGTCCGGCCTCTTGCTAGGAGTCGCTAGAGATGAACGTTCAGCCCTCTGTGTTCATAGCCCGACCCACAACCTTAACCGCGGTAGTCTCCCCAAATGCATTTTTTTTAAATACACCTGGAAAATATTTATGAGATTAGTGAAATTACCAAAGGAGCTTGCAGAGAACGAAAATTTATCTGTCGTGCTACTGTGTAAAAAAGGGTGACCTGACAACCACCTGATAAAACCCCCTCACTGTCCCGGCGCCGCCCTGTCGCCATCTGTATAATGGGCTTGGCAGCCGGGGTGCGCTGTGCAGACTCACGCAGAAACCCGTTTTCATAACGTGCAGAGCTGTGAGACGTGCAGCCAACGCAGTTCTTTAAATAAGCACCAAACTCTCCACCTCTGAACGCTTCTATTTGATTTCGCTTCATGATCTAAAATGGAAAGAGCTGAATAGCTCCAGGTCCCAGATCTAAAGTAGCTATCTTTTGGCATAAAAAGGACTATTGGGTGCGGTTCCATTCAGTACTGTCACTATCGCCTTTTCCCTGCAGAAAAGAGTGTGCTAAAGCAAGGATAGTGTCGGATGGGGTGGCTTTCTCCTGGCACTTTAACCTGCTTTTAGCAGAAGCTCTGGGGGGACGCAGGCCGGGCTGGACGCCAGCGCTCTCCCAGTTCTCCAGCCTTTCAGGAGCCGAGAGTTGACTGTCATGCATTCTGGAGGAGCTTTTTGGTCACTGGCCTTGGTTTTGTAATGTGGGGGAAAGATGCTGTTGTCTAGTTAGTGTTCTTGGCTGCGGGAGCTCTGCTAAAAGTTGCCCCAGGGTGTGGTAGGGCGGCCAGGGGACTCGGCAGCATTCCTGGGTGAACCGTTCCAGCTCCCTGCAGAAAACGTGTTTAGCGAGTCACAGGTGTGCTGCTTGTTGTGCTGAGAGGGTCCATGAAGATGCCGTTCTCTGCCTGGACCAGGGACACCCAGGCATGGGGGAGAGAGTCGAGGCCATCCCTACACACTCGCCTCCCCGTGTTTTTTGCATGTGTGTGCGGGCCTGACGTTGTCTACCTGGGTCAAGTCATGTTAGTAATTTGGTTTCGTGTTTGAATCTCAAACATTTTGTCAAAACTTCCCTGGAATATGAGTAATATTAGTCTGCTTATATTCGTTTTAGCTATCTGCCATGGGCTTCATTTATAGCAGTGGAAATTTGAAGTAGGCAAACATCAGTAAGAACTTTCTTAGCCTAAGGTGTTGGAAGGCACAGGAATTTGTTACCCAAAAAAGCTGTGAGTTCCGTCCTGAAGGTTTTTGGTTAAGGCTCTGTTTGCCATCTTTCTGTGGTGACTTAGGTGCAGTCCTCCCTAGCGACTAAGAAATACACTTGAAGACCCCACAGTATCATTGTGTGAGTCGCTGCTGGGTTGAAATCTCGTCCATCTTTTCTCCACCTTATGTGGAAACATAAATTTTCGTTCCCACCTGGTTACTGTATACTTCAAATATCAATTGGTCACATTTTCCCACATTACCTCACTAAACCATAACATATATTTATGAAGCACCTTGTCTGGAAACAGACTCAAAGCTTCCATGGAG